GGGATTAAAGGCATGTGCCACCACTGCCCAATGGCACTAAGAGCTCTTTAATTGTAAGCAAAGGAGACAAACTCTACCCTACGCAATCAAACAATTTCTGTGTCTGTTGAGTTCATGACAGAAATTGTCTCTTTCATCTCAAGAGTGGATTGTTGACACTGTCTGATAACTAAGCAAGAGAAACCTAGACCATACAGACCATTCATTATGTACAATTAGACACAGTTCCTAACATTGTATTGTATTATCTTAAGAAATATTTAATTTTTATGTGTCTTGCTATTTGCCCTATGTGCATGTTTGTGTGAGGGTCTCAGAGCCACTGGAACTTAAGTTACAGACAGTGGTGAGCTGCCATGTAGATGCTGGGAGTTGAACCCGGGTCTTTTGGAAAAACGGCCAGTGTTCTGAACTGCTAAGCCATCTCTCCAGCACCTGTATTTTATTTTTATTTGGGGGGAGTGCCTTGCTACAGAATGTGTGTGGGTGTCAGAGGACAATGTACAGGAATAGATACTCTTCTTTCGCTATGTGGGTCCCAGGGATTGAACTCAGGTTTCTAGGCTTGGTTTACCTACTCAGCTATTTTGACAGAGCCTTACAATTTATTTATTTGTTTGCACTTAAACTCCTAGCAAAGTGGGCTCTCACCCCATCCCTTTTTAAAAATAATTTATTTTCATGTGCCAAAGTATTTTGCCTGCATGTATGTCTGTGTGAGGGTGTTGGACTCTGGAGTTACAGGCAGTTGTGAGCTGCCACGTGGGTGCTGTGAGTTGAACCCAGGACCTCTGGGAGAGCAGTCAGTGCTCTTAACCTCTGAGCCACCTCTCCAGCCCCTCACCCTGTCCTTTGTATGTTCTTTCTGGTTTGGTTTCTGCACAGTCCTGACCTTGTAAAACAAGCTGCCTCCTCCCTCCTTTTCTCCTCTGGAACATCTTGTCCAAAGCAAGAATTTGCTGTTCTATGGAAGCTGGATGGAGCAGCTGGCTCTGAGTTGTAGAAAGGAAGGCTCTCCCACAATCGCTTCTTAGTCTTTTCCGATATTTTTTTCCTTCATTTTGTTTGCTTGTATGGAGTGGTTTTGTTTGTTTTAGATTTTACAGTAATCTGGGAGCATTTCTCTTCTTTATTTAGACTTTCATCTTTATCAGGGAATATTGGCATTCCCGACCCTGTTCTTCTAAACTCTGCCCCTGTGTGTTGGTTTGCTAACATGCTTTCCTGATTGTTCCTGCGGGGAGTCCGCCTGCTGGTTGGTGTTCTTCCAGGAGTCAGCTTTTGGTTTTGTTGATCCTTGCTCTGCTCTTTCCTGCTGACTTCTTTCTTTTTCCTGGTGTCTTCAGTTTGCTCTCGATTGATTGATTATAGTTCCAGAACTGAAACTTTTGCTGGGGAAGAGCTGGTCTTGTGTCCACTTTCTGGTACCCAACCCTTCCGTAGCAGCTATTCATTCTCCTGTGCGTGCGTGCATGAGTGTGTGTGTGCGTGTACCTGTGTGGTGGTGTGTAAGCATATGTATGCCCATGTGTGTGGAGGTCAGAGGTCATCCCTGGGTATCACTCCTCAGACACCATCTACCTTCCTTTTTTAGCTTTATTTTTATGAGTGTTTTGCCTTCGTGTGTGTGTGTGTGTGTGTGTGTGTGTGTGTGTGTGTGTGTGTGTGTGTGTGTAGTGCCCAAGGAAATCAGAAGAGGGTGTCAGATCCCCTAGAACTGGGGTTACAGATGGTTGTAAGCTACTATGTGGGTGCTGGGAATGGAACCTGGGTCCTCGGCAAGGAGCAGCAAGTGTTCTTTAACAGGTGAGCTTTTTCGCCAGCCCTGATACCTTGCTTTTGAGAACAGGACACTGCCATGAGCTCACTGAGGAGGCTATGCTGATGTTGCTGAATTTCCTTCTCAGAGGGCCACATAAGCAGTGTCCTACCCCCTTTCCTAAATCCTGATGGCGAATCCAGGCATGACTTTGCCAAAGCTCACCATGGGAAAGCAGAAAGTTTCCTTACAGAGCATTAGTGAGGGCTTAATTGTAGGGATGTGAGTGCTACTCCCCACAACAAGCCGACCCAGAAAACTTTTGCCCAGCAGGGAGGAGAGCTTTCCCACATCTCCATAAACAAGAGTCTCCTCTTCTAGTCCCCCCCACCTGTATGCTCTAACCCAATGGCCCTCAACCTATGGGTCACGTCACAGGGGTCACCTAAGGCCATAGAAAACACGAGATACTTACATCACAATTCACAACAGTAGCAAAATTACAGTTATGAAGTAGCAACAGAAATACTTTCATGGTTGGGGTCACTACAGCGTTAAAGGGTCGTGACCTTGGGCGGTGTGCAGTTAAGGTAGAGTTGTATTTGTACAACAGGTGGTAGGGTGTCACTACTCAAGTGAGGGCCTCATGACCTTCCCTGACCCTCCATGAAGGAATGTAAACAGTCGACAAACACAGATGGGACAATCCTTTAGCGATGGGATTATACCTAAACTCAAGATGGCAGTTGCAAGCCGGGCGGTGGTGGCGCACGCCTTTAATCCCAGCACTCGGGAGGGAGAGGCAAGCGGATCTCTGTGAGTTCGAGGCCAGGCTGGACCGACAGCCTCAAAAACAATACAGAGAAACCCTGTCTCGTAAAACCAAAAAAAAAAAAAAAAAAAAAAAAAAGATGGCAGTTGCTTAATTCAGAGGACAGTGACAACAGCTGGCTAATCATTGTCCCTATCTGTTTAGAGACAAGGTTTCTCTGTGGCTTTGGAGGCTGTCCTGGAACTCACTCTGTAGACCAGGCTGGCCTGGAACTCACAAAGATCTGCCTGCCTCTGCCTCCCGAGTGCTGGGATTAAAGGCGTGTGCCACCAACACCCGGCTGTAACTCCAGTTCTAAGGGATCTGATGCTCTCCTCTGACCTCCAAGGGCACTAAGCATGCACACGGTACACAGACTTACATGCAGTCAAAACACTCATACGTAACATAAATCCAAAAAAGTGAACTCCACTTAAATAAGGCTATGCACACTCATTTAGGCTGCACAACATGAGATATCCTTCATACTGGGGGGGGGTGAGGGGGTAGGGGGGGAAGGTGTGGTGATTCTCTTCTCTCATTTTCTATTCTGATGCCACAGGATGAAGGTCAGGCTGGTCTTCCACTCACCTCACATAGCTCCCTGACTTGGGATTGGAAAAGGGAACCCTCACCCTGTGCCTGGAAGGCTGGGCTAGTTTGGACTGAAGACAAGCGGTCTTGTGTGTGTATCTGGAGGCTCACAACTGGGGGTGGGGGAATTTGCAGACGCACATGACCTTGGCAGTGAAGCCCACTGGACGGAGGTAAGGCTGTGATGAAATCTGTGCACCGGGTTCTGTTGGGGCAGCCAGGAAGTTCTCTAGCTCCTCACCCCCAACAAGGGCTACAGAAAACTTCTGAGGAAATTATGCTTCTGTTGAGGTTTGGGGTTAAAAATAGGTTTTGGTTGGGCAGGGGTGCCCAATCTAGAACATACCTAGGGAGTCCAGGTATGAGTTTTGAAAGAGGAGATCACCCCAGATCAGCACCCTTGTTGGTAAGTGAGGCAAAGAGAGGGTAGCCAGGGCCCCACAGAGGCTACCCCAGGTCCTCCAGGTAGTATCTGTACCTTTGCTGTCTTGCTTTGGGCTGGCCTGACCTTACACCCCACGCTGGGCTGGACATCTGTTCACTAGGGTCATTCGTGAAGCTGATGCTTATTGAATGTTTTAGTGTGGTGTATCACACTAGCCAGGAAGCTAACAAGGCCATTTCCAAAAGAACACGGCATGTTTGCTAAGCGCCCGTGTGGGCCTTCCTGTAGGCATTGCCGTTGTATGAGAGGGGTCTGTTGTTGGCCTGATACCGGCCCTCTCTCAAGAGTGCTCCGATTAATAGCAGAGTGGTGAGCGGGTGGTGGACACTTGTCATGGGCTCAGCCTTTGCAATCCCTGGAATGCCCACGGCTTTGGCAGCATGGTAATGTGATGGGAAGCCAAGAACCCCAGCACAGGCCACTTGTGAATGACCTTCAAAAACAAGAGCATTAATCCTGCCTGGGGCCCTTCCCATGCATTGCCTCCTGTTGACCATAAAGTAAAACACAGCAAGAACCTTGGCCACTTTATTAGCTAACTGTCGTGACAGACGCTAACACCCTCAGTTTCCTACTCAGGACAGAACAGGTGCCTCAAGAGGGAGAGCCACTAGCCTAAGATCGGGCCAGGGTCAGCCCAAGGCTGGTAAGAGAGAGGTTGGTCCAGCTACCAGTCTGTTCTGTTTCCAGTTCAACATATGGGTTTCCTCTGATGGGGGAAGCTAGGTGTTGTCCGTAACTTTCTAAGTTTTTGTTAGGAAAATGGTAAATGAATTTTGCCAGTGAGGTTATTTTCACTGGTTTGGTCGAGGCTGGCTCTGACTCCTGGACTGAGAAGCTGGGCGGTTCCCAACTCTCCGCCACTCAGGGGCCACTGGTTTGTTTGCCTTCTGGTGTCTCCAGCTACCATGTGTAATGCCTAGGCACCACAGCACTACCAAAAGGAAGGTAATAGAGCCAGGATAGAAGAGATATGAGCTCCATGTGTTCCTGCAGGGCAATTGCTGGACAGCTTTTCTTGCCCGCCAGCCGGGAGTTGCTCTGAGGTGTCATATAGACCCCTGTGCACAGAGTGGTATGGGTACTAGCTGTCCAAATACAAACATTAAATTGATCTATGGCTCTGTGTTTCTAGCTGGATGGGGTGGGCCTAGAGAGCCATCTACTTGGGTGGCTGTACCCTAGTTAGGGTGCACCTCCTGTGTCTTGGGAGCTAGCCATTAGCCTGGACTTCAGAATTCGTGTTTGCATTTTCCGGGAAAACATTCAAGTCCAATACAGACCAGAAAAAAAAAAAAAAAGATGTTGACATTGTCTCCAGGCAGCTGGCACTGGAGAGAGACCCGGGTCTGGGGCATACACTCTACACCCTCAGTGAATTCAACATTTACCTTCTGCCCACCGTGGGTCCTAGGGAGACACTCTTCTTCCATCCTTGATGTGCAAGGTGGCAGGCAGCAGCAGGCCACAACTACACACGTTCTGCGGCATTCAAAGCCCGGGACTGGTGGTGGTTCCTACAAAACAATCTGTGACCCCAGAGCCGGTCCTGGAGCCTCCTCTCTGCCCCATTCCCCGATCTGCAAAGGGCAGCACCTTAGGGCTTTTCCCAGGCTTTGCAAAATCTTCCCCATCAGATTATTTTGGAATATGTGTTGTGTTTAGAGGCAGTGTTTCTGTAGCCCCAGTCTGGTCTCGAACTCAGTGATCCTCCTGACTCATCATCCCAAGGGCTGGAACTACAAGCGTCCTCTACCACGCACGGCTTAGCTTCCTCAGATTTCTGTTGGAGACAAATGGAAAGAAGACCAAAGAGACTAGATGTAGCCGTCCTGCGGCAGCGGTGGATAGTGGGACAGAGAAACAGGTCTGGTTGCGACTGCGCAATCCATGAAGTAGCCAAACCCCGCCCCCGGGCGCCGTGGCCCCGCCCCTTGGGGTTGCTAGGGGGAAGTGACGTCACAGCGCGATGGCGGCGGCTCCTTTAGGCAGCTGAAGGGGGATTTAGGCCCGGAAGATCCGAGTCCATCCGCGGCGGGGAGAGGGTGAGCGGGGCCGGCAGGGGCCGGAGCAGCGGCGGCGGCGCTCGGACTGTCCCATCCGCCCCGTATTGAGGCGCTGAGAGCGACGGGGCAACCAGAAAGCGATGGTGAAAGCGGGGCCGTGAGGGGGGCGGAGCCGGACCGGACCCGCAGTAGCGGCAGCAGCGGCGCCGCCTCCCGGAGCACAGACCCAGGAAGCGGCCGGGCGGGCAGCAGCGAGCCGCACCGCCGCCATGGAGCTGAGGGTCGGGAACAGGTACCGGCTGGGCCGCAAGATCGGCAGCGGCTCCTTCGGAGACATCTATCTCGGTGAGGCCCGGCGCCATCGAGCAGCCGGGGAGCCGTGCGGGCCGGCGGGCGGGGTTCCTGGCAGGCTGAAGGCCTGCGCCAGGCCGTGGTGGACACTCGGCCGCTCGGCATCCCCGCAGTCCGGGGGGCCCGGGCCACCGGCCGCGGCCTTCATCAACGGCCGCTGTGCGAGCTCGGCCCGGGGGGCTGGGCGCGGCGGGCTGGGGAGAAGCGAGGGGGGGCGGGGAAGGGCTGGGGGACCGAGTGAGGGGGACAGCTGGGCTCTGGGGACTGCAGGACCGAGGAGGGGTTAGACATCCGAGAGAGTCTGGGGGAGTGGTCGAGGCGGGGGCCGCCCGGGAGATGAAGAGCAGGGTCTAGGGGCGGCGGGCGGGCGGGGGGGGTTGGTGGCCGCGGGCTTCCGGAGAGAGGTGGTGGTGGGGTGTCGGGAGGGCGTGGGAAAAGGACAGCGGGCCTGGGCTGCGGGGTGGGGTGGGGGCTGTGTTGGAGCTCGTCCAGGGGGCAGCGGGGCCGGGGGAGGGGGGTGAGCGGGGCGGGGGAGGGCGGCAGCGGGCTTGGGGGTGGGGCCCTAAGGGGGCAGGGCCCGGGCTGCAGGGGCCCCCGGCGTCAGCATCCTCTCCCTCTCCCTCCCCACCTAAGGTCACCGCAGTAAACAAAGGCCATGCTCTCCTCCACAAGAGGGTCTGGAACGGCCCCTTCACCCCTGCGGGGGTAATCCTGGATGTTTTGATGTGTGTGTGTGTGTGTGTGTGTGTGTGTGTGTGTGTGTGTGTGTGTGTTGGGGGGGAGAAATGTCAAAACAATATGATTGTAGCGTGGAGGTGGGGAGTGTCCCGGCCCCGAAATGGGGAAATGACGACGGGCTGGGTCCTAAGGGTTCTCGGGGGCTGTCTGAGCCTGCCCTTTTCCCGCAGTGGTGTTTCCAGTCCGCCTTAAAACTCCAGAGCAGGACTGGAAACGTTCCCCTTTGAGCTCGATCAGTTAGTTCCTGGCCCTTTGGCCTCGGGTCTTTCAGTATGTGTTGAGCATCTTTAAGCTGACTCCTGGGCACCTGGGTATCCGTGGGACTGAAGTTTTAAGAGTAACGCAGGGCGCAGTAGATGTGGGAGAGGTTGGTCAGCGTAGAGGGGAGGGAGGGAAGTGGTGTCAGAATTGTCACCCCTTGAGTCTCAAGAGTTGGCAAGGTAGACTTGAAAAATCCTAGGTGTGGGATTAGGCCGCCCTGGGTCACGTCAGACTTTTAACAGTGAGAGACTGTGCACGTATACGCGTGGGCTTACAGAGTTGCTTAAACCCACTTGTCGGGAATTTTAAAATGAGCGTTTTTACCCCTGTATTTCCTAGTGGAGTTGTAGATCATTCCAAAAACCCCTGAACTTCTGGTGGGTGAGCGCCCTGAAGACGGTTGCCTGTTAGCGGCAGACATGCTCCGTTGAGTCGCCCGGTCTCCTTCATTTGTGTGGCTGTTGTACCTGTAATGGAGAATCGGGAAGAGGCAGCTTTGGGCCTTGCCTTTCAGGCTCCCCAAGTTCAAGACCTTCCTCCTGTGACTCTTAGGACCTGGACAGGTGTGGGGTGGGCAGCTGGCCTGTGTGGGTAGTTCATAGGTATTTATGGTCCCTGGCTAGCGTGTAAGGTAACCCTGCTGTGTGCCTCCACACGAGTGCTCTGGACCTGTGCTGTGCTTCTTGCCATAGTGGCCTGATTAGTGAAATATGCTTTAGAGACACTTGGGGTTTTGCATTTAAAATATTTATGCCTTCTCGGCAGTGTTTGGGAGTCAAAGTGCTGGGTAAATGGGAGATGTTTGGCTTATTTATAGAACAATAGATTTTGGCAGGAGTTTAACCTCAGGAATATAGGAGCTATACTGAAAAGCCAGTCCATTAGCCACCCTTTCATGGGCACCAGAAAATAGGTATTTTGAAACTTTTTGTTCCCTGAGATTTTGCCAAGCAGTTTTGTACTTTCTGAAGATTGATTCTAACAACCAAATTGTGAGGTAAACTTCTCTGAGAAGAGTGCAGGCTCTGTCTGGGGATGCAGCTTACTCAGTCACGTGCCTTCAGATCTGCCCGGTTCCTGCAGCCTCGGGTCCCATCCAGAGCAGTGGGACGCGAGGGAAGGGCTGAGAGGCTGCCTTGAGCCTGTGCATACACACCCTGACCAGGGTCTTCTACAGGCATGTGGGTGGTGGCACCTTTACATCTGACTAAAGACGGGACCAGGCACACAGCATCTGATCATGTGAGCTAACTTTTTCCAGGGAGTTCTATTTGATGACTCTTCTCATGTAAGATGGATTGCTGGGATCCTAGAGTCAGAGTCCCGGGCTTTCCTGTCTATCATGGTGTGGGGGTTCTGGGTTGTTGTTTTTTGTTTTAAGACAGGATCTCACTATGCAGCCCTAACTGGCCTTAGAGATCTACCTGCCTCTGCCGTTCAATGCTGTGTGTCACCATGCTGGGCCCAGGTGTGCCTCTTGTGTGGGATTAAATACTTGTTAGGTCTTTTCTGTCAGCCTTGACTCTCAGCCTGCATTACTGTCCTTTCAAGTTACACCCTTGGGGAACTGAAACATGAAAATGAGTGACTTGGAATAAGATAGGCTAGAAGCACAGGTCTAAAGGCAGGGTTCAAGAAAGATAACCTGAAGACCATGGGGTGGATTGACTTAGCCAGTTGAACATGAGTGGAGTTGGATCCTCATCTTGATGTCTGTGTGACATGCATTCTAGTGCAAGTAATGAAAACTTTCCTAACTGTTCTCATAAAGTGCTTTATTCTTCTAACTTCATTCTTCCAGCAGGTTCTCCCTGTTTTAAGCCTGGTTTTAGATTTCTTCCTGAGGCTTTTGTGCTTTAAAATATGTTAAACTGTTTGTAGTCATAAGTCATTAACCCTGTTCTCAAGCCTTTCCTGGTGGCCTGCTGTGCCAGCAGGCAGGAGAAAAGTCTGTAGTGACCATAGTGCCCTGCGAGGCTTGTTACTCACATCTCTAATGCCACCAGTCTCAGCCTTCCTCTGTCTAAGCCAGTCAGACACAGAATGTGCCACTGCTCACATACCTATAGAGGATCCCTGGGCAGGATGTATTTGCTGGTTTAAGCAGCCTCTACCCTGTCATATCTCTGACATGTGTTGCTCTGGCGCTGATATTTTTGAGGTGTTGGAAACCAGTATTTTGCTTTTGCCAGTACTGTGTCCCTTAATAACTGTCATTTCTTCTTTAATTTTATGTGACTGAGTCTTCATACTGTTACCGTGTGTATGAGGTGCCCTCAGGCGCCAGAAGAGGGGATCAGATCCCCTAGGACTGGAGTTACAGACTGTTGTGTAGCTAGGGCTCAACTGCTGAGCCATCTCTCCAGCCAACCCCTCCTTGATAACATTTTTAAACAGAGCCCACACTCTGATGCTGACTTTGTTCTCAGTCCCAAAGGGGCCAGGGTATCTTGGAAGAGTTTGTAGTGTGGGCTAGACTGGGGTCCAGGTTGTTCAGTGGTTATATAGTAAGCCAGGGTCTGTTCAGTTGGACATTATAGACCCAGGCTACAAAGTGCCAGATACAGAAGAGTCAGGGCAAGCGTGTTTTTCATCCTTATTTCTCCTCTGGAAGCAAGGAGTAAAGCTTGAGGACATGATTGGTAGAATGGAGGCCTCTTGCCCACTGTATAAATTTGTTCCTCACTCTTCATTTCCACTTTCTTTGTGCCTCAGCTGCCTACCTTTTGATGGACAGTGCAGTCAGATTTTTTTGTTTGTTTGTTTTTTGAGACAGGGTTTCTCTATGTAACAAGCCTGGCTGCCCTGGAACTCACTCTGTAGACCAGGCTGGCTTCAAACTCACAGAGATCCACCTGCAAAGATGTGTGTCACCACTACCCAGCAGTGCCGTCAGATTTCATGATGTGCTTAAGCATCCCTTGGGAACTGAAACTTGGTAACATTTTCACCTCACAACTTTGAAGGCTTCTGAACACTGGTGGGCCATGAGAGTGAGACTTCCAGTCTCATTATGACCTTCAACAGGAAAGATGCCATTAAAAGAAATGTGTATGTATGTTATGTGCTTGCATGTGCGTGCACGCACTCGCGCATACATATGTAGGGATAATCATACATGTAGAAGCCAGAAAATGACACCATTGTCTTCTTCAATCCCTTTCCGCTTTACATATTGAGACAAGCTCTCTTACTTGAAACCACAACTCTACAGTTTGCCTAACCCAGTTAACCAGCTTGCTCCAGAAATCCAGTCTGTGCATCCTGAATGGGAATAACAAGTGGAATGCCACATCTATCTAGTATTTACATAAGTGCTGGGGATCCAGACTCTGGTCCTCATACTTGGGTAGTATGTTATTTACTGATCCAGACATCAGAGAATTAAATTTACCCATGTTGGAGGAAAATCAAGGCTGCAGTCCTTGTGCCACCCAAAAAGGAACTTGATACTCAGAAAGATTTCACATAGTTCTGACAGCTTATATAAATACCTTCTATAGCAGATCTGGAACTGAGACAGTAATGGTGGGGCTGTACCTTGACCAGATCTGCTTAATTATACCTACTGTTACCTTATGTTTGAAGTCCCAGGAGGGTCCAACCCGGACTTAGCATTTCTAGTAGTATAGCAGCCCCACATGTTTGTAGATGTCATGTAATAAGAAACCTTTGAACCTCAAGTCAGTACCCGAGTGATAGCCTGGGAGTGGTCCTTGGATCCCTGTTCTTCCTAGTGTGATTGCATTGGATAAACCTCCTTTTCTGTTTTACTGTTTGTCTTTGTAACTGGTGTGTTTGAGATGGGTGGCTAAACCTTGATATTTGGGGCTACTGTGATCGTGACTTAATCCCTAAAAGTTATGGTAGCATCATTGTAGTTTTAGGCCTTTAGGCCATTGCTTGCTTCTGCCTTAGAATAGTGTTGTTTGATAATAGCAGTGATACTCTATGCCACTCGGCCCTCGTTGCCCTGTGAACTGACCTTTGCCTTGCTGTTAGGAGATGGCTCCCCACTTCCTTGTTAACAAGATTATTTTGGGGTTTTGAGTTGCTTTGTTTTTCTCTTTTTTTCTTGAGACAGGGTTTCCCTGGCTGTCCTGGAACTTGAACTGTAGACTAGGCAAGCCTCAAACTCATACAGATGCCCGTTTCTGCCTCCCAAGTGCTGGGATTAAAGACACTTGCCACCACTGCCACCCAGCACACGCACTCTTCTCTCCTTCCCCACGCACACATGTGTGTGTGTGTGTGTGTGTGTGTGTAAGATTTTTTTTTTAAGACAGGGTTTCTCTGTGTAACAGCTCACCTGCTTCTGCCTCCCCAGTGCTGGGATTAAAGGTGTGCACCACCACTCCTCGGCCTATTTTTATATTAAGTGTTTTGCCTGCTTACGTGTCAGCACCATGTGCATGCAGTTCCTAAGGAGGCCTGAAGAGGATGTCATATCCCCTGCAACTAGAGTTACAGGACAGGACAGTTGTGAGCTGCCATGTGGACATTGGGAAACAAACCCAGGTCCTCTGGAAGAGCAGCTAATGCTCTTAACTGCTGTCCCATATCTTCAGACAAGAGAAATCTTGATTGGAGTGACCAGCATCTGGGCTTGTCATTGAGTGTTCGTTTCCTGTCCCTGGACAGAGTAGTGTTGTGGGTTAGGTTCATGCGATCCGTCAACCTTTATGGGCTGCTCAACTTGAGGGACATAACTTTGCCTGCCTGCTTGCTTTCTTCCCTCTCTCCCTCCGTCCCTCTGTCCATCCTTCCTCCCTCCCTCCCATTACTTTTGTGTCATGCCCCCTGGAACTGGAGTTACAGATGGCTGTGAGCCTCAGTTAACATTGTTGTATAATCTAAACACAATCCAGTCTCTGCCTAGGAAGGGAGCCCTATCTTCAGTGATCCAGGATTGTTTAACTGCTTGTAGACAGTGCTGCTGTTTGGGTAATACAAACAACAAATGTTTGCGGAGGGGGTGTTAAAATTTTTTATTAGATTTGTGTGTGTGTGTGTGTTTAGAGCGTGGGTGTATGTATACAAGTCAAGAGGACAACTTGCGCAGGTTCTCTACCTTTATCCTGTGATTCTAGGAGTTGAAATTACCTTGTTAAGGTTGGCAGCAAGCACCCTTAAAGCTCCTGAGCTTTCTTGCTGTTCCCTGAATAAATGTTTTTACCTGTTTTGTTTCCGAACCCCTGATTACAGTGATATCTTTTAGGTACTAGTGTCTCTTCTGGTAGCATTTATCAGACTTACACATGGTAGAGAACCAGGTAGTTTAAATTTCAGTCTTTGTAGTAGTACTAAATCGCTACCAGAGTTTAAAGGTCCATTCTCCTGTGCTTGGCCCAGTAACAGTGTAAGGTCTGGACTAGACTAGCATGCTGGTGGGGCTCAGGAGATGCAGCCTGCCGGGATGGTGGGACAGAACTGCAGGACTGCAAACCAGTAAGTCTGCATTGACTCGCATAGGATAAATAGAAGTTGGAGCTGCTTGGTCCTTGTACCTAGAAGGCAAGGGAGTCCGTGGAGGAGGTTTTGTGCTGTCCTCGTATGCTGGTGTGTCCTGTGTCCACCTTCCCTCTCCTGATGATTGCCAGACTCAGTGCAACCCTCTTTATAGGTTCTGCAGGCTCTTTTCTTGACACAGTACATGGCATTGGCTCCACGAAAAGGTGTAATTCACAGTTGTCAGTGGTCATTTATTCCTGAGCCTGAGAGTATTCCAGGACTGATTGTCAAGGCACGAACTATAGTAGCCACAGAAGAGTAAAGCTAGAGGTATTTTCTTCCACCTTCCAGAAGGTTCTCATTCAGTAGGCTGTTGACCCTTGGCTGTCTTGTCCCTGTGGACCTGCCAGCTGTCCCCAGAGACTACTGCTTTGGGGTGCAAGGAGTCACTGACGTAACTGGTGAAGTGAGTCACCATTCCTCCTGGCTGGCAAGTTCAGCTCAGAGTCTAGGTCCTTAAAAGAACTCAGAGGTCATTTTTCATCTGCAAGTACATTCTAGATGAAGTCACTTTTTGTATAAATGGATAGGTTGCCCTACCTGTAGGCAAAAAGAGTAAGATATATTGCTTATTGCTAGTATCCATAGAGTTTTTGTGGAGTAGTAAGTGAAGTTCTTAAACCTAGCAACTATCCTATTATTCTTACAGATTCGCAGCATTGGAGATTAGCTTTGGGCCATGTTCTGGGAGCAGCCATCTGACAGACCAAAATGACTTGTCTCTGGTTCTTGGGTGGGCACTAGACACAGTTGTTAGCATTGGGTTGCCTCTATGTTTAGGGGCCTTGTTCCACCTTCCGTCAGAGTGACTCATTAACCCTATGTTTCCTCGACTCTTGCTGACCTCTCCCAGTTCAGTTGACAAGACAAACTGAGTCATCACGAAGTAGCCAGGCTGCTCAGTCCACAACTTGTCTACCCATCATAGACCCTGGTCATGTATGGTTGTATCAGATTCTTTGGAAGGCCATGTTATCTTTTTCAGATAACCACATTCCTGGAAGTGCTTTCTACCTACAACCTTTCAGGCAGGAGGGTCAATGTGGTGCAGTAGGCTATTTTCATTCAGAGCTCCTGGATGAAAATCCCAAGCAGGTTGGGCCAGGTAGACTGAGGCATACTTATGTGGGAGCCTGAAGGAAGGTGGTTGGAGGAAAGCCTGAAAGGGACACTTACACATGAAACTATCTTTTTGCCTCCAAACTCATAGACTAGTCATCTTAGTGTTCATCACAAACTAACAAAAACTACATACCCTGTTTGTATCGCAGAGGCAGAATTGGCCAGGGCTTAAGAAGCGAGTCCATTCTGGTCTCTTTAATTCAAAGAGTGGCACATGCCTTTAATCCCAATATTTAAGAGACAGAGATAGGATCTTTGGCAATAGTTTGGTTAGAGATGATTCCTGAAGCCATGAGAGGATTGGGCCCACTTGAGATCTGCTGATGAGAAACTGTTGAGATGTGTGTGTAGATGTCAAGCCTGTCTGGCCTGAGACTTGGAGGACAGAGAAGAGTGTAAAACCTATCTCTCTGCTCTTTTTGGGAGACTCAGGCACACTCGAGAAGGCCTATCAGAGTGTGCCTGAGTGGGTAGAAAGATTGGGACCTGCAACTCTGGTGACTGACTTGGGTGCAGTGAGTACAAGTGGAAAGATTTTCCTTTTTCTTTTTTTGAGTAGAGATAGCTTTCTGTGTTGGTCAATCAGCAGTATAGTCTCTTACTAGGAAGTGAAGAGCTTCTGTCATTTGGTTCATCTCAGGAAACTTGGTGTGATTGGAACTAGGGTGTGGTTCAGTGGCAAGGTTCTGGCCTAGCCATGTGAAGGGTGCTGGATTCTATCCCCAGCACCGTTTCTGGCCCAGATATAAAGGATGTAAAACAGTACTTGTCCTTTCTGCAGCAAGCTTTGGATTATGTGGTAGACACGAAATAATGTCTATAATTTTCTTTCTTTGCCCAGGTACGGACATTGCTGCAGGAGAAGAAGTTGCCATCAAGCTTGAATGTGTCAAAACCAAACACCCTCAGCTCCACATTGAGAGCAAGATCTACAAAATGATGCAGGGAGGAGGTAAGGTCATTGGGGTTAAATATCTTCCCATGGCCTGGTTTTGAGGTACAGAAGACCTAACCCAAGAAAAAGAACAGTCTTATGTATTTTGCTTAAGAACCGCTTTCTTAGTTTCCAGTTAGATGGTAATGTCTTTGAAATCTGGGTTTTGCGAAAGGTTCTAATTAAACATATTGTCTTATGGTGGGAAGGGCTACTAGTGGTGCTGCCTGTCACACCATGGTGCTTCCTGCCAGTTGGCATCTTCTGGGCAACATGCTTTCCTTAGAACTTGGGGGTAGTCCCATTGAATTCTCTGAAGCTCGTTTTCTCTTGCATAGGATTCTTGAACATGACTTCTGATTCCTCCAGCTAAGTCACTGTTATCAGTTCCAGTTCTGTAGAACATTACCCCAAGACTTTGGAGTACTGAAGCTAGTGGTGGGCCAGTCTCATTCTACAATTCTGGGAGCTGCTAGTTTGACTCATGGAGCAGGTGAAGACACACGTGAAGGTTCCTATCCTAGATGATGGGGCTGTACCCTCAGAAGAACTTACCAGCAGGGTTAGGGCCAGGGCTCTTCTGAAGGCTTAACTTCCCCATCTCCTAGGATAGGTGTGGTGATATTTTGTTTATGATCTAATAAAGCTTGTCTGAAGATCAGAATGCAAAGCTAGCCACAGCCATAGATGTCAGGCAGTGGTGGTACACATCTTTAATCCCAGCACTCGGGGAGGTAGAGACAGGAGTGATATGGCTGGGCGGAGAGAGGAATATAAGGCAGGAACAGTCAGGAACACATGGCAGTCTAGGCAGAGGACACAATCATGATAGACTTTGTATCTGAAAAGCCATACCTCATGATCCCTTTTAGCAGACGGCTCCATGGTGCCATGGTAGTTAAGAGTAGGAAAGACAGAGAGTCCTCCTAGCCTTGCTACCCACCCTTGAGACACAGCCTTTATTGGCCCTGCCCTGTCAGCAGAAAAGGGGAAACTGTCTCATAATGTTTTGGTTGGGCATTATTTTTCTTTTGTATATGTGTTAGTTTCTGATGTGTTTTTATGAGTCTCTGCATCTATCTGTTTCATGTGCTCTTTCTTTGACTTTTTCTTCTGTTTGTTTCATCCTATTCAATTTTGTTGGTTTTTGTTTTTTGTTTTTTTGTTTTTTTTCGAGACAGGGTTTCTCTGTGGCTTTGGAGGCTATCCTGGAACTCGCTCGGTAGTCCAGGTTGGTCTCGAACTCACAGAGATCCGTCTGCCTCTGCCTCCCGAGTGCTGGGATTAAAGGCGTGTGCCACCAACGCCCGGCCTCAATTTTGTTGGTTTTATTTTTATCTTTTTTTTTTTTTTGTCTCAAAAAGAGGCCTGCAGAGGCCCAATCCTGCTCAGCTGCCCTTTGGCACCTTTTTCAGAAAAACAGCCTCCTTGGGGGCATTAGGGGCTGACTGCATAGCTTTTCTAACAAGCAGAGTAGAACAAAGTGTCATAGGTTTGGTCTTTTCTCGGAGTGTCAACATTTGAGCTTAATGTATTAAGGGTTGTAGTTCTTAGACTGTGCTAGTCTAGAGTGCCTAAGGGAAGAGGCAGCCTGATAGTGACAAGAAAGGAGAAAGGGGTTAGTGCGTTCCAGACAGGTCTCTGGCATCAGTGTCACTGCCATTTGCTTGGTATTGTTCTTTGTTCTGTCGAGCATCCTAGATGTCAGTTGCCCTCCCTGGTTATGATGATTAGATGTCCTGGATGATGCCAGGAACCTGCTGGGAGATAGCATTACTTCCTCAGTTGGGCCCTCAGTCATTTGCCCATATCCCTTCTCCAAACTCATAGAACCCAGACAAGATTCAGAAATGGGTACTACCCTTTCTTGGTGTTCCTCAGCCTTTGGTCAGGTTTTACTATTGTTACCCACTTACTGAATACCCTAAAGGTCTCTGTTTTGGGAAACATAGTATGTCCAGAGAAAGAATGCAATATTGGCAGTGTTTGTTATCTGAGACTAAATGGAGGTTGTCAGATGCAGGATGGGCATATACTTTGCTCAGAAACCACATTATGTCATGTTCTATGTATGTAGATGAATATGGATTGCTTTGCTACCTTCTGAAAGGAACAAGCACCTGTTTCATTGTCCTGATCTTGTTTACATTGGCTCTGGTTGTGCCAAAAAGAAATCATACAGTTAAGTGGATGACTGTAACATGAGGTTTATGTGGAAGACTTGCAGGTGCTAGTAGTGTAGCCATGCCTGGTTAAGAACTGCTGTACTGAATGAGAAACAGCACAGGAGGCTTTTCATAGGATATAGACTGGAACCTGAGCTCAGCCTTAGGATGTGCTCTTGCAAGCTCTCTCGTTGGGCTTTCTTGACTCTCTAGCCTGCAAAGAACTACACAGAGACTTCTTATTAATTATAAAAGCTTGACCATTAGCTTATGCTGGTCCCACTAGCTCTTAAAATTCAAATTAATCTGTTTCTATGAATCTATCTTCTGCCACATGACCTCTCCTTTCTACCATATGTCTGACTTCTTCAGAGTCCCCTGGACATCTCTGTAACCTAATCTGCAAGTGCCTAGATTCCTTTTCCTCTCTTTCCCCAGAAATCCTTCCTATCTCTCCTGCCTGATTATTGGCCTTTCAGCTCTTTATTAAACCAATCACAGTGACACATCTTCACACAGTGTAAACAACAGTGAGCTCTGGGCACTTCACCAGTCCAAAAATCTGGTCAGCACAAAAAGTTAAAGGTGAAATACTAGAAATAAACTAGAATTCAGCTAGTAAAAGTCTTGAGTAGTCAGCGAGTTTTTGTCAACACCTGGTACTGCCAGATAAGACCTGGTAGCTTTTTTAACTGCTTATTCCATTCCTGATATATCCCAAAGTAGATGTAGACCACACCCTCCTTCAGTAACTCCTCAACAGAAAACATTAATGAGTAATGTTTTCTTCTGTTAATGTGTTACAGGGAGCTTGGTGGAATGGGAAGAAAAGCTCTTTGTGATAGGATCTGTGTAGGAAATACACACCATAGTTTTTTTCTTGGCTTTTTTGGGGGGTGGAGTGGGAGATGGCCCCCAAAGGGAGTGGCACTATTAGGAGGTGTGGCCTTGTTGGAGGAAGCATGTCACTATGTCTCTTTCTGAAGTTTCTCTCAGTGTGACGGTCAGTCGACTACCTGCAAGATGTAGGACACTTCAGCTCCAGCACATCTGCCTACATGCTGCCATGCTCACCACCATAATGATAATGGAGTGAACCTCAAGCCACTCCGATTAAATGTTTTCCTTATAAGAGTTGCTGTGGTCATAGTTGCCTCTTCACAGCATTTAAAAAAACAACTAAGACGGTCTATAGTGCCCTGGCTGGACTGGAACTCACTTTGTAGACCAGGCTGGTGATCTTCCTTCCTCTGACTCCCAAGTGCTCAGATAAACCAGCATGCCTGGCAGTGTTTATCTTTTGTCTTTGATTTTGATTTTTTTTGTCAAGGTATCAAATTCCTCCTCTGCCTCCTGAGTGTTGGAGTTAATGTTGTGGACCACCATGCCTAGTTAGTCATGAGCTATTATTGAACATTGCTATAGAACATGCAGCATGTAGGTGAAGTAGATATTTATTGGAGTAAAAGATGCCTGTGATCCCTCACTCCTTTGAGGAAGTCTCCAATGCTACCCTGTGAAGCTATGGCCTGCCTAGTCTCTCTAGCATATCTTCGCTGGCCCTTGCTTACACATTCTGTTTGCCATGATTTGGGGGTGCTGGGGGTTGTTTTGGAGTGCTAGGATGAAACTAGGACTTTGCTGTGCTATGATAAGCACTGTACTACTGAACTACAGCCCTAGCCCTGCTGTTTTTCTTTCTTGTCCTCCCATAAGATATTTGGTTTTCAAAATCTAAATACTACAAATACTATTTGACAGGTTTAGTCATTTTAAAACTGAATTGCCGACAATGTAATTAATTTGTCTATTTGAATTAATTCTTAGTGCCCACATTTACATTGAAATACTTGTCAAATCACAATGGAAAGCACTTGCCAATGCCTATGTTTTCTGGCCCCAGTTAAAGCATTGAGTGGTGTAACTCATTCCCAAATCATGGCACAGCACTTGGGTTTTTTTCTTTAAACTGTTAGCTCCATTTGTTCCTGGAAAAGAAAAAAGAAAAAAACACACAGGACATGAGAAAAAAGTAGCAGCAGCACTTTCTAGACATGGGTCTACTTTGGATTCTGGATTTTGCTAGTATGAATGTCTGGCTTCAGAGTAGCAGGGACCCTATAGCTGGAAGGTTCATCATGCTTTATCAGGAACCTTCTCCTAACTGGTTTTATAGTCACTTGTTCCTAGGCTTTACTACTAGTTAGTTCCTGGCAGTTTGCTGAGGGTAAAGTGCACCACAGAAGACATTATCCATCTTTTTCAGCCAGGAATCTGAGCTCAGGAATCCTTTGCAGTGACTGAATTTTATTCAGTTTCCAGTGCCATGGATTAACAAATGACACTACTATTCCCCATTGAAAGGGAAGGTGCTGCCACCCATCACATATCCCCCAACTATTAAGTACATCAAGAAGCCAAGGAAGGTATACATCCCTCCTAAATAGCAGTTTGCTGTTATGTAATGCAGTTATGCTATATGCATCTTGTAACCTTTTTGACAATATATTCCTAGAACGTATGTGCATGTGATAGAATCTCCTAGAGTAAACATAGAAGAAATGAGTTTTCTTAGCTTAAGATCAGAATATCATCAGTTGGGATAGGGAGATAGCTTAGTGGATTAAAGTGTAAGCAGGATGTAGTGTGTGTCTCTGCAATCCCAGCACTGCTGTGCAATATGGAAAGTGGAAACAGGAGCATCACCCGGAAGTTCACAAGCCAGATAGATGCTCTGGAGTGCACAGACCAACACCAGAAACAGAGTCTGTACCTCACACAAACTCCCAAAAAGGTGTCTTCTGACCTTCGTGTACACAGTGTGGTACAAACACATGTACACACATACAGATTAGTAAACATTTAAAATACTATCAATTTACTTAACGGACAATAGCTAGTTATAAAGTGTGATTTTAAAATACCATTTATGATAGCATACACCTTAAATATTGTGTATATGAATGCTCTGTCTGCATGTATGACATTAGGCCAGAAGAGGCCAGTAACTGTGGTGCTTACTAGACCACGTGCTCTGGTAGGCAGAGGAGAGCACAGGGAGTCTTGTAAAGCGTGGTTCTCCGAAGTGCTTACTCTTTGACCTGAGCAAAGCTGCTGTGTGCAACCTTGTTCCTGGCAGTTTTCATGAGCAAGTGCTCCCAGCTTTTTTCTGAACATCTTTGTGTGACTGTTGTCATCAGTCATTTATGTTTTTAGATTAAATAATTTGGTCTTTGACCCATTTTTCAAAGGTAGAGAGTCTGTTTATTGTGGACTTCTGTTTTTAGATCTAGCACCTTGAAGGCATCCTTCCCTCGTTTGGAGTTCGGATTGTTTGGTTTTGTAGGGTCTCATTAGGTCTCATACGTGGTCCAAGCTGTTGGTCCTGATCCTACAGTTCCACCACACAAGCACGTCACTTCACCCACCTGCCCTCTCTGTTGGATTTGCCCTGTTCTCTACTTACTCCCTCTTCCACTGGTTGGTATGTGAAAAGTCCGTGCAAATTTCTAAGACGTTTTCATTGCATTTGCTTTTCTCTCAATATCGGGGCGGGGGGGGCCGACACACTTTTTTCTCTGCTTCTACAACCCATGGTAGTTGTCTTTCTCTTCTGTTTCTCAGCATTAGGTTCCAGTTTCACGGGTGCAGCTATGACTTCCAGCTGGCTTCTCTGGATCTGTTTTATGTGGTTTTTCTTTCCATGGATGCTGATGTTATGAAGTTAATTATCTCATTTACTGCTCCTGCTGGTTTGACTCTTGCCAGAGTTTGCTCTGTGCCATGTATTACTGTATGTGGCTTAATCATGAGTGGGTGTATTTGAGGGCAGACATTGCCTGGATCTTCTGAACCCACAGACTCAATCCACTAAACACATATGTCTTGTTGAGTAGAGGTGATCTGGTGATCTGATGTAATAGCCCAGGCTGAAGAGCTATGTTTGGTTTCTTTTCCAGTGGGCATCCCTACCATCAGATGGTGTGGGGCTGAGGGGGACTACAATGTCATGGTGATGGAGCTACTAGGACCGAGCCTAGAAGACCTCTTCAACTTCTGTTCAAGGAAGTTTAGTCTCAAAACTGTCCTGTTGCTTGCTGACCAGATGGTAAGCATCCCATTTCATAAAGTGCATAGCTGTGTAGTTCTTGGCATGTGCTTGCTAGCTTGATAGAATAAATTACTGGGTTATGTTGGCCGTGGTGGTACTTGGGAGGCAGAGACAGGCAGATCTTTGTAGGTTCATGACCAGCCTGGTCTATAAAGCAGGTTTCAGGTCAGCAGGGGCTGTGTAGTAAAACCTCTTCTCAAAAAATATGTAAGTTACTGGTTGCCATTTCTCCATTATTATACCCATTTGTGCATAGAAAGGGGAATTTGTTTAATGTTGACCTCAGGATTACAGACCAATTTTTAACTCATAATGAATGGACTTCCCAGTTCTCTCAGGGAACCCACATTAGACTGGCAGTAGCTCTTGGGTGGTTTCCATGAAAATTCTTGTTTACGGATCATGCAGAGTCCAGCTGATACAGACCATTGTCACCTCAGCCTGCTCTCTTCTACTCCCACGGGAACCAAGGAGAAGAAATGTCTGGGCCTGTCGGGGGGATAGAAAGCTGAAGATATCTTGAAAGATGACCACCCTAACTGAAATCACTGTGCTCTCCAGAAAGCAGAGCATGTGTAATGTGAGCCTCACTGCCAAGCAGCCTCCTGGTCCAGCATGAGCACTCGGGATTCAGTCTCATCTAGTTTCTCCTTTTGTAGATAAGTCGTATTGAGTACATTCATTCGAAGAATTTTATCCACCGAGATGTGAAGCCAGATAACTTCCTCATGGGGCTGGGAAAGAAAGGCAACCTGGTCTACATCATTGACTTTGGTCTGGCCAAGAAGTACCGAGATGCCCGCACCCACCAGCATATCCCTTATCGAGAGAACAAGAACCTCACAGGGACGGCGCGCTATGCCTCCATCAACACGCACCTTGGCATTGGTGAGCCCAGACATAGGAATGGAACACTTGACTTAGTGTACCTTTAACATGGTCATCCTTAGCTTAGGGAAAGCCCATGTATTTAGCAGACTAGGGTTATGAATCAGTTTGGTGATGAATGGAGGCTGTCAGCAACCTTTATAGCAGATAAGCCGATTTGTGCAACTGCTGGAGTCTTTATGCTGCCAGGTGCAGTGTAGGCAGAAGCTGCCTTCACCAGTTCTCCAAGTTGTTGAAGTTGCTTGCCTGAAGTGTTAGGGAAAGTTCTTTAATGTCATGTAAGGGAAAACTTCTGGTGACATAATTTTGCAAATACATTTTTGTGTTATTCTTGAAGTTTTATTTCCATTGTCTGGTATTGCTTTTATACATACCAGACACACGTGCCATCCTTGACATAGTTCCCTTTTCTTTCCAGAACAATCTCGAAGAGATGACTTGGAGTCTCTGGGGTACGTGCTGATGTACTTCAACCTGGGCTCTCTCCCCTGGCAGGGGCTGAAGGCCGCCACCAAGAGGCAGAAGTATGAGAGGATCAGTGAGAAGAAGATGTCCACTCCCATTGAAGTGCTGTGCAAGGGCTATCCTTGTGAGTTCCCTCACACCTGCCCCAGTGTTAACTAGACTCCTGTGTGGAGAGCCTCACCTTCTATTAGAAGAGTTGTATGAAAGAGGCACCTTTTTATATATGAAGGTGGCAGTTGGACCTGGCTTGTTTTGTTTTTCCATCCCTGAGCACTTTTTGTTTAAGAGGTGTTCTGTATGAGGCCCAGGAGACACGGGAAAGAGGCAGGACTGAGCCTGGAGAGGTGACCTACATGATAGGAAAGGGGAAGAATAGTGGAAGACCTAACTGCTCCTTGACTGACCACCGCCCTTTACTCCTGTTCCACCTAGAGTTTTCCTATTTTTTGAGATTGCTCCTGGGATGAAAATGCCCTTAATAACTACATTTTGCTCTCTAAAGTTGACCTTTTAGGAGGTGTGGAGGGCGTTAGTATGGAACCCAGCTTTCTACCACTGAGCTCTACCTCCAGTTTCTAGATGTTGATATATTGAGACGTTTTCAGATTTCATCTTTGATGTCTTTGTATATGGCACTGTGGGAGGTGAACTTGGTGAATAGGTATGAGTCTAGGCCACCATTGATAGTTCTTGACTAGCTTTGAGTTTCTTGTTTTTTAGCTGAATTTGCCACATACCTGAATTTCTGCCGTTCCTTACGTTTTGATGACAAACCTGACTACTCCTACCTGAGACAGCTCTTCAGAAATCTGTTCCATCGCCAGGGCTTCTCCTATGACTACGTGTTCGACTGGAACATGCTCAAATTTGTAAGTGACCTTGCTAGAGCATTGAATGAAACAACCTGGTCCTTAGGAGGCTAAGCTGTTTTTGTTTTGTTTTATGTAAAGCTATACTGTCTGCAAGGCGCAGCAGTAGGGCACATTGGAAATTGTGAAAGCCATGCACACCTGGTAGAACTTGGGCCTAGAGACCACTTTGCCTGTGGATTCAGAGTACTGAGAGGGAAGATGCCAGGTGAGGCACAAACCTATAGCATTTGGGGATAGAGACATGGCACAGTGGTTAAGATCACTTGCAGGTTTTACAGAGGACCTAGTTTCAGTTCTTAGGACCATCTGACTCCGTTTCTAGGGGATCCAATTCCCCCTTTATGCCCTCTTCTGGCCTCTGTGGGTACTGCATTTACTTACATGCAACAAAACACACTAAATAATAAAAACCACTGGCATTTATGGATATATATAAGACATCCAGTAAGCTGTGGTGAAGGTCTACACAATGGCTTATGGATTGGTATTACTTAGTAAGTCAAAGGGCCTGCTTGCTGCCCTTCCTTCTTATTTCCTTCCCCCTCTTTTTCCTTAATTTTTAGGGAATAAAACTTCGTCTGCGAGATCTAGTTTATTTGTTTGTTTTTCCTCCTGTACACAGTGTTCTGCCTACATGTACACCTGCATGCCAGAAGAGGGCACCAGATCTTATTATAGATGATTGTGAGCCACCTTGTGGTTGCTGGCAATTGAACTGAGGACCTCTGGAAGAGCAGCCAGTGTTCTTAACCTTTGAGCCATCTTTCCAGCCTGAGAATTTGCTTTTTAAGGGCATGGGTGTGGGTGTGTGTTTCTCTGAATGTACATGCACCATGTTCATGTCTGGTTCGCTCAAGGTCAGAAGAGAAGGTCAGATGCCCTGAAACTAGAGTTAGAAGCTATTGTATTAAGCTTCTGTGTGAATGCTGGGAACCAGATCCAGGTCCTCCTCAAGAGCAGCAAGTGCTCTGAATCACTGAACCCATTCATTGCTCCAACCCTCAGAGTTTTATTTTGAAGTTTGTTGTTGCCTCGGCTAGTCTTGAACTCCTAGGCTTAAACTGTCCTCGTTCTTTGGCTTTCCAAGTGCTGTGGGTACTGGTGTCCCCATGCCCACCTTAGAAGATTATTCTGTTATAATTTCCATCACGAATTTTAGGAGCTTTGTGGATTGATCTATGGTGGCATGCATGACAGTCTGAACAGATGGTCTCCTTAAGCCCTACTTCTTTCTGCCATCCAGCATCCCCATCCCTATCTCCAATCCAGTGTGTATATCACAGGCCTCAGAAGAGCCCCTGGGGTAAAGTGCCTGGTATTCAGTCTGAATTTGATCCTGTAATAGTTCAGATATTGCTGCATTCAAGGTTTTTAAAACTTTCATGTCTATTTTCATTGAAAATATGTTAATTGCCCTGGGCATGATGGCTCTCAACACCTTGAAGCATTCAGAGGGCAAAGGTAGGCAGGTCTCTTTGAGTTTGAGGCCTGCCTAGGACATATAACTCTAAGCTAGCCAGCAGAAATTTATTCTTTGAGTCAAACATGGTTGTGCAGCTTTTGGGAGGTTGGTTAATTAGTTTGAGGCCAGCCTTGGGCTACAAAGCAAGACCCCATCTCAAACGATCAGGAAAGTTTTTGTAATTGGAACTAGAAATTAGGTAATGTATCCAGCCAAAGCAGTAGGAAGAACTGCTTCTTCAGGGTATATATCAGGAACCTTGTCAGCTGCACCATGTCCCAACTCATTGAGAGGGTGGATGACTGAACTAGATGTAGATGCCTGGGTCTAGTGCTGCTTGTGTATCTGTAGACCAGCCAGGGCCAGAAGGAGACTTGTCCTATGGGGTGAGCTGGCTCAGGAGTAGTCCTTCTGCCAGGGTGGGGGATTCAAGAGACAGCTAAGTCTATAATGAAATAGGTTACACAAAGAAGTGGCCCATGCTTGCAGACCCTGCTGACAGTGATCAGAATGATACTTTGACTCTGGTTTCTGGTCCAACAGAAACCTGACTTCCCATCCATGCTGTTGGCCTGTGTCTAGAAAGGACTCTGCTTAGGCCTTTCTGATTCAGTGCTTAAGCTCTGCCTTGCGCTCTTTCCTGTCTCAGGCAGCCCCTGCTTCCTCCCCTAATACACTAGCATGCCAGCATTGATAGGTAGGGATTAAAATGACAGCTTGTACATGTGGTTTCCAATATGGTAGAGTATGAAGAGGACTATGGCCTTCGTGGGTATTATGCAGTCATCATCTTTGCCGAGAAATGGTCTGATTTCTCTATTGATGTGGGTGGTTTCAAAGGGCAGTCTTGTCCCGAGTGCCCTTTAGTGTTTTCTTGTTGTTGTTTTTTCCAAAGGGACTGGGGCCAGCCAAAAGCCTTGGGGCATTTAGCTTTTTTTTTTTAAACCAAGGCCACTTTTCTGCTGTTCATCCTAATCTTTGTTTCTCAGGGTGCCAGCCGAGCTGCAGATGATGCTGAGCGGGAACGCCGGGACAGAGAGGAGCGATTAAGACACTCCCGGAATCCAGCCACCCGTGGCCTCCCTTCTACAGCTTCCGGCCGTCTTCGGGGAACCCAGGAAGTGGCTCCCCCAACGCCCCTTACCCCTACCTCACACACGGGTGAGCACACCTCTTAGCATGTTCCATCAAACTAGGGCCTCTGTTTCATGTTTGATGACTTGCTGACCACCCTAGTATGTGACCTCACAAGGATTCTGGGCCAACCAGTTCAGGGTTGTGTACCCATTTCAGTCAGTCCTCATTCTGAAGACTAGATAGGACTGGGGCACAACCCATGATGTCATCTTTAGGAACACCTTTAACCCCAGAACTTGGGAAGCAGAGGCAAGGTGGTTTTCTGTGAATTTAAAGCCAGCTTAGTTTACATAGTAAGATCTTGTCTCAGAGAAAAGAAAGAAATGTCCTCCTCACAAGACTTGGTCTTGAAGATTGAGTTCCCTGAAATTTGTTGATAATATTGACTGTTTCCTAGATAACTGTTTCTCATGAGACTGGAAAGATGACTGAGAGCACTGTCTGATCTTCTAGAGGATTGGATTCATTTCCTGGCCCCTACATGACAGCTTTTATACTGTCTGAATTCTAGTTCCAGGAGAACCAACCCATCCTCTGGTCCCTTTGGGCACTGCATGCACGTGGTACACAGACATGGTTAGGCAAAACCACCCACACATATAAAATAAGTTTTTAAAAAGTTTTGCTGAGCTGGGTGGGATGGTGCACATCTTTAGTCCCAGTACTTGGGAGGCAGAAGCAGGTGGATTTCTGAGTTTGAGGCCAGCCCAGTTTACAAATTGAGTTCAGGGCAACACAAAAAAACCCTGTCTCAAAAAATTCTTTTTCTCTATCACAATAGTGTTTTTTTTTTTTTCCAAACCTTTGACTACTCAGGTCTGACATGTTCTGCTGAATGTTGAAATCTTAGAATGCATCCCTGCTTCCAGCAGGGTCTTGGGATCGCTGGTCATTTGAGTTGGTTGTGTGTGTATCCCTGAGCCTGTGCACTTGGCTAGGGCCATTAGCCTCTGCTGTGCCTGCAGGCTCATGAGATTTTTATTTATTTATTTGGATTATTGTGTGTGTATGGGTGTTTTGCCTGCGTGTGTGCCTGTGCACTGCATATGTGCCTTGTGCCTTGAAGGTCAAAAGAAGGCACTGGGTCTCCTGCAACTGGAGTTAGGAATAATTGTGGACTGCCATGTGACTACTGGAAACCAAAATGGGTCCTCTGTAAGAGCAAGTACTCTTGACCCCAGAGCCATCTCCAGCTAGCGAGGTGTTAAAGAGCCAAGGTACTCAGTGATTGTGGCTTCTCTTCATCTCCTCTAGCCAACACCTCTCCTAGGCCCGTCTCTGGCATGGAACGAGAACGGAAAGTGAGCATGCGGCTGCACCGTGGGGCACCAGTCAACGTCTCCTCATCTGATCTCACGGGCCGACAAGATACCTCTCGCATGTCCACCTCACAGGTATGCGGGTAGAACTCACTGAGGCCTGGATGTGCCAGACTCTGGTGTAGGGGTGCATGTTCCTTGTCACTATGTACAGGCACTGGTTCTCTCCCTTACCTTGTTTTAAGGACTGACCTTACAGGTTCACAGTCAGGAGTGGGGTGACACTTGTGAAGAGCGTATTTCCTTCACTCCCCTACTTTTTTCCTCATTTTTAAGGATGTTTAAGCAGTTAGGCTTCTAATTATGTTTTGCTTCTTGGTTAGAGACTGTGACTAGTCGGGTTTCTAAAGGGTTTATTTCCTGGCTAGGACTATAATGGGCTGTGAACTGTGTGTAAAGTTTTTTTATTTCTGCTGCTCGATTTCAAAGGGACATCCCTATCTATCCCTGCCCCGCCGCATTCCCCACCGGGTCCGGGTCAGACACCGTATGCCAGCTTGCTCATACCTCTTGTTGGGGAGAGGTCTATAGTATAGGCACACCAAGCTTTTTTACAACTCCACTTGTGGTTACTAGCGAGGATCTCCTTAGCAAAACACCGGGGAAGGCAGTAGCTGCATAAGAAGGGTCCTTGTGAGGGGATCCTGGGCATTAGCACTCTTGGAAGTGCCAGACTTTAAGGTGTCATTTTTTTGTTGACCTGTCTGTCTCTGATGAGGGAGGTGCTCCAGGTAGGAGAGTAGTTTGGACTAGTTCCCAGGCCCTTCCTCCTAGCTTCTCCCTCGTCCACATCTAGTCCTCCCTCTTGCTGTGCCTTTGCTGCTGTTCTGCATTCAAAACTGCTTTGTTCAACAGACTAGAATAAACTCCTGTCTACATTAGGGTTAAGCACATTTGTGACAACATCTCTTTGGCTTACTGTACGACCTAGTATGTTGTTTGAGTAGGTAAGGACTGATCGATCGTGAGTCAGTCCAAGATCCTGGGGCTTTCTGGCTCAGGCCACACCTAGAACTGGTTTGATGGAAATCAAGACTGTTGAAACGTGTTCCTATGCATTTCTGATTTGCCAGAAAAGATAGGTTTTGTATGGTAATTTTCTCCTGAAGAAACAACAGATGTAGGGAGTTTGACAAGAGGTAACTTAAGTTGTGGCCCTTGAGTTTTGACATCAGGAGGAGATTGAGTCCCTTGGTGTGTACATTCTTAACAGATTTCCTCATGGAAGACTTAACAGTTGTTTTTGTTTTTTCTCATAAACCATTGTGTTTACATTAGGAAGTAGTCTAGTTTTGCCCATGATGTGGTGGACCCTGACTGGGTTTGGACATTTTCATGCCAGCAGCTGGACAGATTAAGAAAGGGATGGCAAGGGCAGTTTTTTGTTTTGTTTTTAGTTTAATAAAAAATTGAAGCATCTGGTAGTTTGGGATCCAGGAGGACAGGAGGTTCTGTGGATACCAAGAAGACACAGGGTACAGCCCAGCTTCTTCTTGCCAAGGCTGTGACTGCCATGACCTTAAGGACAGACAATAGCATTTTTCTCCACATGGTTAACTTGGGCCTCAGAATCAAGTCTCTGGTTGCTTGGTTTCTCATGTTCTACATGGATAACTATTAGTTGGCTTGAATGTGGTTGGGAGGCTGGCTCTCTTCCTTAATTTTTCCTTTGGCTACCTTGGGGGTTTTCTAGAGACTGCCTGTGTTCTAGTTGTCTCCAAATGCTCCTTTATGTTCCCAGCTGCACCTTTGGGGGAGTTTTGCTGACACTGAAAGGCAGCTATCCTAAGGGCATCCCTTTCATTGTGCAGCATTACCAGCATCCTTGTGCTTGTACCGTGTATGGTGTGCTTCCTTCTCCACTCTTCAGGTCCTCAGTCAAGCATCTGCTCTGAGGTTTGGAAATTAAAGGCTGACAGGGTTCCTCCAGGCTTGACAGGCCAGTAGTGACTTCTCCCTAGAGAGTTGGGGTTCAGGAAGGAGTGGTGGCGTGTACTTAAGCACAGTGAGCTGGAGAGTACCATGCATGGATAAGCCCTTGCTTCAGCAGCACATATCTTTTGCTGAGCTTCTTTTATCTACAGCTGCTGGTTTTCTAATAGCTGGTGCATCCTGTGTGGTACAGTGTGATACCCACAAGTCCTTACACCAGTTAAAGCCAGTCTTAGAAGTGTCCAATGCCCTTATCCACGTCTGACGACAATAAAGTACAGGTCACTGGAGTGACCTCTTCTGCAGGACTTCAGCCTCACTCAGGCTTTCCCTGCAAGCAGCAGCTGCTTCTTCCTTGGCATCTTCCCTTCCCTGAAGAGCACTTGCAGTAGGGAGACTGTTTCCTGATATCTGTGAGTTTGCTCTCATTAGCCAAAAGAACATAGGCTTTGCGTGGCATCTGATCATTGGATCGCTATTGTTTTTCCTTGGTCTCCTGCGTAACACAGTTCAAAATGTACCAGTTATTGGCTTTTGATACCTCAGTTAACCCACATCTGCCCTAAAATAAGTTCATCCTGGTGCTTTCATTAGGGGGAAGTGTGTCCCGTGGATGTATCCTGGGAGGTGCTATCCCTCCCACCTGCTGCATAGTGCTGTGAAACCAATTTGTAGAGCTTCCTCAGCTCCGCCGCCCACTAGATTGCAGTTTCTGTAGAACATGAAGTTAGGAAGGTTCTGCTGGAACAGCAATGGCCACTTTTATCAAGGGTCATGAGAGAGTGATGAGTTCATGCACTGTGTGGAGAGACTTGCCATTAGCTGGAGTCCCCAAAGTGTCTGTTGGTGTCTTGACCTGTTGAAGGCAAAGGGCACATCAAAACTCAAGCTCAACACAGGCAGTCAGGGGACCAGGATCTCATGTGCTGGTCTGGCCAGCAGGACACTTACCAACAGCTGTCTTTTCCCCACCTCAGAATAGCATTCCTTTCGAACACCACGGCAAGTAGCTGCTCGTCTCCATCGGAAGGCAGCACTGGGTGAGTGTGCTCAGGGTGGGGCTCTGCAGGTGGCAGGTGCCAGGCAAGGTGGGAGCAGCTTCCCATCTGTCGTCTGGGCTCGCTAGTGGGCTGGGCTTGCATGCCAACTGCTGGAGGTAGAGTGAGGCTTCTTCTGCTTATTTTTCTCCATGTAATGGATATGGGGTAGCTGTGGTGAGCTGCCCAATCTGGGGGATTGCTGGCATCCTTAGACTCTCTGGACCAAGTGACCTTAGGGAAGCATCCTGCTGTGCCTTTGTCCTCTCGCCTCCCTGTAATTGCATTTGGTACGCTGGAACCGCCCTCAGGCCTGGCTGGCTCTGGGCAGGTGTGCTGGCACGTGTGTCTGTTGTACTCAGCTGAGTGGTGCCGCGCTTGGTATTGGGCTTTCTTGAGCTCTTGCTACATGCAGATTCTGGTGGTCTTTGCCCATCCTGGCTTTTTCAGTCATCCCTCTTCCTCTCTTTCATTTATCTCTGTCCTCATTTTGTGTTTCTTTCCAAACTTGGTACCTGCCCAGCCATCTTGTCCATGCAGCTGTTGTCTATTAACCCAGTCACAGGCACCTGCTCCTCTGCCGTCAATGCATGGCTGGGCGTCCACGCTGAGCTCCTTTCTTGTTGGCCACATGGCACTTGGTGGTTCCTTCCATCAGAGGCTTGAGCTTTGGTGGGGGTTGTGCTGCTGGGAGATCTGCTCCATTTATAACACGTGTGTGCACTCTTGGAAATGTGTTGATAAGAGTTGCTTTTCCTATCTTCCCTAAGGGATATGCCTGTTTCAGAGCTTCAAGTTCTTTCCAGGAAGGGGAGGCTGGGAGCAAGTGTCACTGCTCCACTCGGATCTACAGGAGCACAGCTCTGCAGTTTCCTTGCTTGCATGCCTCCTCTTTCCCCATCTTCCTGTCCTGTGTTCTGCTCAACACCTGTCCTGGCTGGCTACAGAGGCCTTTCTGTGCAGCCAGGGGTGAAGGTGTTTAGATTGAAGCCAGGTGGCAGTGTGTCCCTTCCCTCCCAGGCTCTATTGTGTTATGTGCGCCCAAACGCCTGGCTGGCCTGTTCCTTGGCCTCATGCTGACCTTGTCCTGTGCTTTGGCTCCGACAGATTCCCGGTCGGGTGGCTTCCAGTGGTCTTCAGTCTGTCGTGCACCGATGAGAACTCTCCTTTTTGCTGTGAAGGGCAGACAATGCATGGCTGATCTACTCTGTTACCAATGGCTTTACTAGTGACACGCCCCCCGGTCTAAACCCGAAATGTTAACGCCGGGAGCTCTCCAGGCCACTCACCCAGCGATGCTCATGGGGAATCAAAACACAAACTAAATGGACAGGCTCCAAGAGCTGCCATCGCCAGGGGCTGCACCGTGGCCCCATGTGAGCTCAGTTATCATGGGGCTGGAATGAAGAGCAGAGGCTGGGAGACCATTGCAGAGAGAACCCGACTCCCTGTGAAGAGCCTCTCAGCTCCCACCAGTGGTGGCGGACCTGCACTCCCTGACGATCCCACCGCAGCTACCAGTCTTCTACTTGGTTAAGACAGTTTTGTATCATTTTGCTAAAAATTACTGGCTTAAATCTGTGTAAAGAAATCTGTCTTTTTATTGTTTCTTTCTTGTCTGTTTTTGCGGTCTTAAAAAAGATGTTGACCTTAATCCTAAGACATGCTGGCTTGGAGCTTCTGTGTAAAATGGAGGCAGGCAAGAGAGGGGCACATGTGAGTGTCAAGGATGATGTGTGTTTTGTTTGTTTTGTTTTCTCGTGTTGTACTGTTCACTTTGGAAAGGAAATACTCATCAGTTGTGTGTGTGTGCGTGTCTTGTGGGCTCCCATCAGCCTCATTTGGGCATCTTGCTTACTCTTCCCCACTGAAAACTGACAAGCCTGCAGTCATCAGAGCAGGTAGAGTGCAGCTGCCATGGAGCGAGGGTGCAGCAGGCATATTCTCAGCAAAGCACTATGGCATGATGGTCTTCCCAAAGGAGGCAAGAAGGAAGTCAAAACTGAAGAACTCACATGCAGAGGCCTTGAGGTCACTGTGGACTGCTGGAGAGTTCCAAGATTGAAAGCTGAGCTTGTGTTTCTGGTCCCTGGAGAGAGGGTTGCTGTTTTGGTAGTGTTGGTTGGTTGCCTCTATGCCTTTGAACTCGGGAAGTTGCTAAACAGACTGATGCCACTTAGGTCTGTCATCACCTCTCTGCTCAGAGCCCAGGGAGCAGGCTGTCCTAGACACCATGGTTTGCCCAAAGGGACCAGTGGCCAAAGGGAATCAAGCCCAAAGTGCCAAGAAGCAGGTGACTGCCTACCTGAATCTAGACCCTTCACCTCCAGAAAGGTGTGGTGCCACGAGCCTCGTGATCTTCAGCTGGACACATCTGCGGGCTGGGCTGCTCTGCCGCTGGCGGTTAGGATGCCAACATGCTCTTCCCCACCATGTGCACCGGATATGAAGAGATAGCAGGACCTGAGCTCCCTGTCTGAGAAATGGGGTGCAGTACACGTGTGTGGGTCCATCTCTTATTTTCCCTGTCTGCCTGTGGAGAGAGTTATGCTGGGTACCTGTCTCCTTGTTTCGATTTGGGCTCTAATGGTGCCGCCATGGCTTCTCCTTTCTTCCCAGAATTCCCCGGTACTGAGCACTGGCCTGGGGTGGGGGAACACACTGCTGATGTGGTAGCATCCCAGAATGTGGCTGTTAGTCCTGCCAGCCAGCCATCTGAGCCCGTGGGTGCTTCTTTCTGAGTCCTGAGCTGGTTACTCTGCAAGCATTTTAGGGTGCAGGGACTTGACTGGGTGGGACTGTGTGTCTGGGAGTGCAGGGGGAGGTTGGGAGGGTTGGGCAAATTTGAGATTTTTGTTGCAAATCCTTTATCAGAGTTGGGCCTCCTCTCTCCAGTGGCAGGCCTGCCTGGAAAGTGTTCTTTGTAGATATCTGTGGTGCCGGAGGGGTATCGGGGTGGCCTTGAGACTGATCCAGGCTCAGCCTGGCCCTGTTGGGTTGTGCTGAGATTAGGCCCATTGGAAGTCCTCCAGGGTGTGGCTGACGGTTCTTGCCTAATATTTAATCCCATCATCACTCGCAGGAAGCGTAGTTAGAATGTGTGTATCAACCTGTGTCTTGGTGACCAGTCTCTGAGCTGTGCGTTTGTACTACCACTGTATTTGTGTACTTTAACAATTGTGTAAATAATAAATTCATAATGACTTCTACCTTTCTTCCCTCCCCTCTGTGTGGTCTTTCTTTTAGCAGCTGAATTTTCAGTATTTGTAAACCAAGTGAAAGTCAACTTGGTGTGGGTGGTGGCTCTGAGATTAAGACAGTCTTCCTGTAGCCCAGGCTGTCCTGGAACTCTTCTGACTATTGGTATTACAGACCCAGTAAAGCTAATTTGTTCAGGGTGACATCCTGCTTGTCCTTTGTCAGCTGACTTGGACTCTGGTGTACATAGGTGGGTATTCTTAAGAGTTTTCTTAGGGATAGTGTGACAGTTCTCTGAGCCCTATACTCACCTTATGAGATACAAGCCCCTAGCCCACATAACCTCTGTGTCAGTTGTTTGATTTTCGACTTGCTAGGGAAGGAACTGAGGTGGGTGTGTCCCACTGCCTTAGCTCTGACATAACTGGAAAAGGCATCCGTGCACACAGGCGTTTTCTATAGCAGCACCCCTTTTGAGGGACAGGCACAGGCTATCTGTTGCTGTTGTAGAGACCTATCCTCTTGGGAATTATTACCGGTATCCCACATCCTGATGAGCTTGGCCAGTTGATTGTGGAGGCATTTGTAGCAGTCAAGTGCTGGCGGGATTTATGGCCAAAACCCACTCGACAGTTCCCTGTATGTGACAGATGTGACCATGCTAGAGAGGGGAACTCCCAGTCTTGGCTTGAGTTCTTGCCCCTCTAACCCCTACCCTCAACTTGGCATTCTCTTCCAAGACACTCTTCAGCTGTGCTGCCTGTACCTTGAGCATCCCAAGTTAGCCTCTGGCCTGCTTGGTGGATTCCAAAAAGGAATCTATTGTTCCACTGTCCCTCACCTGTGGAGCAAAACCCCTCTAACAACTCTCTATCTCCAAAAATATTTGCACTGTGATTCATAACAAAACTACAGTTATGAAGTAGCAATGATAGTTTTATAGTTAGGGAATCTGTGTTAGGATGGTTAAGAACCACGGAAACAGAGCTAGTGCTTGCTAGCTCTGCCTCCATTGGCGCCTTCTTCGGTCTGGAGTTCCCTCTGGTCACTGCCAGGCAAAGTGCAGGGGGCCCCTATAAGCAATCCACTGTTAGGTATGGCTTCCCTCCTCCTGTGAAGGCGCTCGTGCTAGAGAGGATCAGGACTTGGAGCCAGAGGCTGGGTGGATCACACTGAAGGCTGTGCATCTAAGTAGCTGCCTTACCCAGATTCCTCAGATGAGTAGCCACTAGCGCCTAGGTTGCTGCTGGCCATTCACTTCCTCCTCTTAGTTCTCTGCCAAGAGTAGGGTAAGGGATCCAGTAGCCCATAAGCCTAGTTCATTTGCCTCAGACTCTGAGGGTGCTGGGATATCTTATCTGTTCCCCTGGACCTTTGAAGACCCAGTTATAGGTAGGTGTGGTTGGGCAGGTCTCTCCAATGTCACTCAGGCTTGGGTCTTCATAGTATGCTGAATACAACCTTCCTTGGCACTCCATTCAACCCCTACAGGGCAGCCATGTTCAGTGAGCCCCCAGCTGCTGCTGGAGCATTTACAAGCACCCAAGTCGTCTTGGCTTCATACATCACCTATCAGGGTTGGTCACTACTCTAGGTTCCCCAGCAGCCATAATTTTTGTCCAAATGGAAAATATCTCAGTGCAGAAATGCAGACAGGTGAAGCCACCTCACTACAGAGCCCAGAGGCTACCACCCTAGGGTGTGAGTGGGGTCCCGCCAGCACACACAGGCTCAAGAGAGGCCTCATGAGAAAGCTCCAGCCCACTGTGGGCCTCTTGGCCATGAAGCATCTTCCTTTAAGAAAACTAAAAAGGTCCCCACATCTTAACCATGTTGTCTTAATGTGCATGAAGCCTGACCATTTTCCATTTTCTGACTGCGTCATGTTCTCACATACCACCTGCTCTGGGTGCAGGTGTGGGACGAACATGACCTGCTGGTTTAGGCCGTGAGGGGTTGGGAAATGAGTCTGATGAGTGCACACTTTTAGGAGCAAGCCCTCCCTGCCCCCACTCCACCCCACCTCCGTCCCTGTCCCCCAGCCACCCTCAACCAATGATTCCCCCTAGTATAATTGCTGCAACCAGACACAGCAGAGAAAGCAGGCCCGCCCCTGCACCAGAATGGTACCCACTCTCCACCACTCTGTCCCTTCCTTAGTTTCTAGGGGCAGCTAATGGCCACAGTTGGGGTTTGGCATGCCTTGAGGTCCCTGCCATCCCCACGTTCTCTGGTGAGGTTGGCAAATGAGACTCCAGGACGCATGTGACCACAGCCGCCACCAGCTGATCACCTGAGAGGGAGAGGAACCCCAGAGTATTGAGCTTGGGTTAGAGCTGCAAGCCCTTGGCCTCCTCATAGAGCTGAGCAGGGCCAGACCCACCAGGGTGTATGGGAGGCAGGGCCCAGATATGAGCAACTCGCCTCCTTTTCCTTGCAGAGGAGCAGGGACGTGGCGTCTCTCCGGCTGCATGCGGCCCGCCAAGGTGCCCGCTGCCGTCCCCAGCGCCCACGACGTACCACCTACTGAGGCGGCCCCAGCGGCCTCTGACCGGGCTTCCAGGCACGCAGGCCGCCACTGGCGGCAGGGCAGGTGGGTGCGAGGTGCCCAGGGCAAGCCTGAGTGCTGAGCATGGGCTGGGACAGAGGACGGGGAACAGAGATCATCAGCACCGTGCCGATCCCTTAAGAGAAATTTACCAGCCCTTCAGTGGGGCGAATAAATGGAAGGCAGGAAACGTACTTAACACCGGAAGCCCCACACACAGTGAACACAGCTCAAACTGGGTCGCAGCTCAGTCCTCCTCACCCCTAGGGGTTCCCCGGGGCCTCCAAGTGCCACCCGGGTACCCCCCCTCTCTAGCATGGGGCTTCCCCCGCCCTTTGCTATTCCCCTCTCCCCCTTTCCTCCTGCCATATGAATGCTGTGGCGGAACTGGGAGAGCTAATGAAGACCAGAACCACTTCTTAAGAATCAGCCATTTTGTTATTTAACAAAGGTGGGACTCAGGTGAAGACCACCGCCCAGAACCAGACAGCTCCCGGGAGACAAGCCTCTGGTGCTCCTCCTGCACACATGACTATTTCTACCTTCTCAGGTGGAAGGAGCTCTTTGTCCCCCTAGACAGAGAGCGATGATTGGCAGTGTAGGAAACTAGGGCTGGAGAATGGGGGGTAGGATGAGGGTGGGTGGGATCAGGGAGGACCCTTGCAGGCAGCACCCACCTGCCAGCCTGCCCCAGCCCCGCCCCTCTGATTAAAGTCGTGTTGTCTCCTAAGTGTGGGTTTCTAGGTCCTTGGCCACAGTGGGGGGGCGGGGGAGGCACAGGCTGCTTGGACTCGGCAGGCTGGGTCCCTGCTATAGGCGGCTGGTAACTGTGGGGCTTCCTTGGCTTCACCACAGATCCACTTTGGAATGACACGGGTTCCCACCCCGCCACCTCTCCCCGCAAAACACTGACCCGCTGACCAGGCAGCCAGAGCTGAGCCGATGATGGCCCCGCCTCAGCTGGTCCTGTTTGTGAAATAAATATGAGCGTTGCCAGTCTCTGGACCTCTTCCCTGCTCCCTGCCCGCCCGGTGAGGCTGCTCACACGCTGGTTTCTGGGGTGTGAACCACCTCCCCATTTTTCTCAGGCTGTTCCTTCAGGAAGTGCTCCACCTCCCTGGAGTCCACCCTCCCATCCACAGGGGGCTTGTGGAGCTTCTCCTCTTCCGAAGCCACCTCCTCAGGCTGTGTCACCTCGGGCTTCTTCTTGATGCAGAAGAAGTTGCCCAGCAGCAGCACAAGGGAGGAGGTGAGCACCTCGGCCCCCGCCAGGATGAACACATACTTGTAAACTTTGGTTGCATCCAGAAGCTTGCCTGCAAAGAAGACCCAGGTCACTAGAAAGATCCACCTCCTGGCGCTGAGGAAATGCCTCACACACGCAGCCACCCTGTCTGACTTGAACTCCATCCCCAGCAGCATCCGCCCAGCCCTCTCCAGCCTCTTCTTCTTCCTCCTCCCCGTGATCGCAAAGGCTGAATCAAAAGGGATAGAAGTGGCCTTGAAGGTTTGCAGTCACGGGGGTCTAAACCCCCTTCCCAGTCATAGACCCCCCCAGAAAGAAAACATGGCTTAGCAAGGCCCTATATATCTAGTAACCGAGCACCCCAAGACCATTCTTGGAGAAAGGAGCAGCCAGAGGCTTTAAGGGGATCAGAAAGGTCTGTGGAGTGAGAGACCCAGGTCCAGGATGGCGAGGCCGCCCTCTCCAGCCAAAACCATTCTCAATTTCAATGGAGTGTTTTTCGGCTGGACCTCAGAAAGTAAAAGGACCAAAGTAACAAATCCTGCCCCATTCCCTTGAAAGCTGCCCCTGTGGTGTACAGACTTCTGAAGAAGCTGCCAGACCCTGTGGGTAGAGCTGTCAAGTTTGTGTGTCTTGGCTCAGAGCCAGCATTTGCTGCTGACATCCGCTGGCCCCAGAGCCTACCATTCCCAGTCTCCTAAAGCAGGGTATGAAAGGAAGGGGTGGGGGGGGTAGGTAGCCCCCCTCCTCAGAGAGGCCAGGCCTTGCCCTGTCCCGGTGTCCCCTGCCAGCCGCACTCACCTCCTGATGGGGGCCCGATGAGCACAGCCACAGCTTCCAATAGCAACACGAGACCGATGGCACTGGAGAACTTCTGAGTGCCCACGATAGCCATAAGCACCTCAAACTGCAGAGCCCCCACCATGCCATATGAGATGCCAAAGAAGATGCAAAAGACCACCAGGCCACCGTAGTCAGTGGCCGTGGAGCCTGTCAGGTCGGTGAAGCCATTGAAGAACATGGCAAAGCTGAAGAGGTAGACAGAGTAGGGCCGCACCTTCTTGAGCCCCGTTATGAAACCAGCTGTGGGCCTGGCAAAGATGTCAATGAAGCCCAGGATGGTGAGAAGGAAGGCAGCCTTTGTGTCAGGCACACCCAGGTCCTTAGCATAGCTCACCACGAACACTGGAGGCACAAAGAGCCCCAGCACCATGATG